GAGCTGCCTTTGCCTTCAACTTTGATCCCTTATGCGTCTTCGTGATCCACTTAATTGCACTCAACAATGTATTCATCTCATGTCTCAAGCCCATCCAGTTCCGAACCTGCTGCCACACCCTACAAGTAAAGGGGCAAATGAAAAAAAGGTGTGGTATTGTCTCCAAACCACCCTTACACAAGTCACACCGGTTAACAATATGGAGATACCCGAGGCTATCCTGGGTAGGAAGTAGGTTTCTCAAGGCCAGCCACACGTTAAAAGAGAGTTTTGGGGGGATGTAGGATTTCCATATGAAACTCATCGGAGTCCTAATTTCACCCTTGACTCTTAACAGCTCATAGATCTTGGCGGAGGCTAACTTTCCATGTGTGGCACGAGAGTTAAGGCCCAAAATCATATCATTGAAGTTATTAAAACAAGTCTGAAGTCTATCCCGAATGAGACTCAACCGCTTCATGGTAAAGTTTTCATCTCATTTTTGGGGTACCAATTCCAGTCTCCAGAACTGATTAACCAAGCTAATTGCATCAAGAATTTCCCCAAAAAACAACCAAAATTTGAATATGAGATCATAGTATGTATCCAAGAAATGCTCAAATGAAAAGAGGAACTGCAAGAGGCAATCAGAAGCTCTTGAATCTGCTCTCAAGATTAGGCCCCGTGCCAAAATTAATCATAAAATATGATTGTAAACCTCTTTTTTGAATTTGATAGGGGGTCCATAAGAGTGCTAGTGCTACAAGAAGGCTTAAAGCCCTGGTGCTGCTCTAATTCTCTATAGTCTTAAACCATTCTTCTTAGTTGAACCAATGGTGAACAAGTCCCAAATATGGAATGAAGACGTCCAATTCAATTTGGCAAGATTCATTAGCCTTTTTTACCAATGCTTAGCTATCCATTTTATGTACTTTTGTGTTTAATTTCATTTAGTGTATTCTTTACTTTATATGAGCCCTTTGGGTTTTTCAGGATCCACAAAACTCCAAGTTTTTACTTTAGGGAAAATCGCATATATGGTCCCTCAATTATCCACGAAATTAAAATCTCAGACCTGTATTTCTGAGATTGTAAATGTCACCCCTTAATTGTCCAAATTGTTGTAAATGTGGTCCTTTAAGTAGTGAAATGTACTCTCGCCCACATTTTATATTTCACCCCTAAAAATGACCACATTTACAGCATTTTGGACAATTGAGGGGTGACATTTACAATCTCAGAAATACAGATATGAGATTTTAATTTCGTGGATAACTGAGGGACCATTTATGTGATTTTCCCTTTACTTTATTTTCATCTTATCACTGCAACTATTTGTTTTTTAATACAAGGCTGCAAACACAATAGGTAAGCCTATATGCAACTGCCTTTTACACTTATAAATAACAAAGTTTGGGGTTGAAACAGATCAAAATGAACAATAAAAGCACACCCAAAGAGAAGATCAACACAGTGTAGAACAAAGCTCGGGGAAGTTACAAATTGGTGGTAATTCCATCTTGAAAAAGCTCCCTTATCAAATACGGGGCCACGTGTCTAGAGGCAATTATATTTGGAATAAAGGAACACTGGTAGATATATTGCACATAATTTTAGTTAACAATTGGTGGGACAAAAAGACGGGAAATTTATTCAAAATAGTGTTGCATTTGATCACGTACCTATTTCTATTTTGGCTGGCTAAACAAAATCAACAAGTTCATGCTACTAATAAAAGCTCTTTGAGGTTCTTGAGGTGTTGGATCTCATATGAGGTATTTGAGCAAACTCTAAGGAATGGCTGGCAAAACCCTCTGTTATTACATGGATTTTGAATTTTTAAGTTCAATCTGCGGGTTGTTTCCCTAGTCAGATTGAGGGGTGTAATTATCTATAATATTGTGACATATTTGTTACTCCCTCTGTCCCGCTAAGATTGTCCCATTTTACTTTTCGGTCCGTCCCACTAAAATTGTCACATACTAAATTTGATAAAGTTTGTGTGGTTCTAAATCATTCTTACTTTATTTTTACTTTATCAATTTAATACCAACCACGTAATCTCTTTTTATTGATTTGCATGTCACTTCCTCTTGTCCCATTGTTAGTGGGAAGGAGGGAGTATTTTTTTTTTGAAGAAATATTTGTTATTTATTTTCTTATTCTCTGTTTATATATATATATATATATATATATATATATATATATATATATATATATATATATATATATATATATATATATATATATATATTATATACACACACACACACCAGCAGGACACCCTATTAGAGTGAGCCATTATTCTCATAATTATTATTGCTTACTCCTTTCCTTTGCCATACATAAATCTATTCTATTCCACTCAACTTGTAGTCACTCAATTAGTATATATTAGATCACAATCCCAAAGTTTTTGTTGTGATATGCTTATATATGAGTACTATATTTCTTCATGCAACTGAGATAAGGAAATAATTTGAAAAGGAAGGACGTAAAATTACTTGAAACGGAGCCCAACGTAAACGTTGTTTCCTTAAGACGTTTTTGTCCGACACATGTAACATGCATCTCTCAAGATGGAACAGTTCTTCGTTCCCAACGGGATCCCAACAAACTCAAAGATGAACGGAGATGTATGAGAATTTGGATGTTGTTGTATTGCATAGTTTGAAGTTGTGAAGTAACAAAACGGAATGGGAGTCTTGGATATATATAGTGCTCTGGCAAGGAGACACTTCAAGAGACACATGTTCAATAAAAGATGGAAACCTTTTGATGGCTTTTGTAAAAAAACAAGACCTTTCGTATGGATTTCCATCGTTTGCAACGGAGCCAAAAACTCACTATTTTTTGGCTTGAGGATATGATGGAATAAAGCAAACTGGCTCACTAAACTGTTTGCGCTTCTTTTTCATGAAACATAAGTCAGTCTATTCAATTTTCGACGCGATTTTCTCTATGGGTCATCCGGAAACAGTCTCTTTGTGCCTTAGTATAGGGGCAAGACTGCGTACATCCAACCCTCCCTTACCCCACCGTAGGTGGGAGCCTTTGCGGCATTGGAGTAATGATAATGAATGAAAAGACCTTTCGTATGGGAGGAAAAATCCGAAATTCAAAGGAGCAAAAATTTAATCTTCCTATCTTAAGCCCAACCGTTTACTGGTCAAAGACCCAAACCCAAACCCGACCCATCCCGCCCGGACAGGCGGCACACGTGAAAAGTTATCTTCAACTCCGTGCGAGCTATTTTCCATAAATATTTTTGGAAATCCCATATATATTATGACTTTGATTAGATCGAGTCTTTTTTTAATATATATACTTGAAATTCTCTCGATAGACGAGGGTTTGATTCTATTTTTTGTACATAACTTTTTATTAAAGCTCTTATCTTTTGATTTCACGCTCATTGTGTACGGGTCTCACCGAACAACAAAACTTCTGTCCCTAAGGACCCAACCTAAAAGCTAAGGAAAGCTTATAAAACGACACTTCCTAAACTCTTCATTTTCGGTGTCAAAAAACTCTCTTCCAAAACTAGCGAAGTTCGGGGAACAATTTCTCATTCGATAGAATATATAGACTCTCGGGTCTCACGACTATTGGACTTGGACAGAGGCCCACATACCTGCTCACCAGATGTCATTTGTATTATTGTACAGTTCATACTAGTATATCATTTGTATCTACCAGATTAGATTATTATGTAGTCGGATCTATCGGACCCATATTAGTGACCCAACCTTTTATCTCTCTATAAATACTCTTCCAAAGCACTTGTAACCCTAATATAGAAATACAACATTCAACAATATTCATCATCATTCTCCCTCTTATTAGCTCAATTTCCATTTTATATATTTTGGATACCCCATAATCCAGCGAAAATAAAGTGAGAAACCTCCCAAAATCAAGAAATGAGGAAATTTTGGAACTCCAGGTCGGGCCAGAGTCGCTGTCACTGTTCATGGTGCCACACTGTTAGCAGGAGGTCTTTGCTCGCTGAAACACCGCCGCCGCTCCAGTTTTGGGACCAAATCATGCAAGGAAGCAGAGAGCCAGAAACCAGATCCCGGTGGATTGGGGAACCAGCAACTCGCTATGGCCTCCACCGTCGCCACAGCAGCGCCCCTCTCCGTTCTTTCCTTTACCCGGCCAGGCGCCGCCGGACGCCGCTTGCAGCAGGCTCTCACACCTCGCTAGCCAGCAAGTCGCAGCACCGCCGCTCGTTTTCCTCCTCAGTTACGGCGTCGCCATACTCCGCAGCAGCTAGCTCGTCTCTATTAGGCGACATGTGACACCGCACCCGAACGTCCTTAAAAATTCGATTTAAAAACTTAACATTTATGTATTGAATTTCCGATTTGCCAAACGATTGTAAAGCGATTAATGTTCAAACGCGTATGATAGTGTCGGGTTTGCAAACACTTTTCGGGACTTATTAATAAATAAAAGAGCTCAACATTTTCTAAATAAGTGATCGAATGATTAAAAAGAATACCAATGCCTACAACCCTATCTTTGGCATTTTTGAGCTAAATAATGGAAGTAGGATTTTCCTTCTATAATATCCATCAAGTAAATTTTTGGGATGAGCCTACACATATTGGAGATCAATAATGTGATTTAGGAAGTTGACTTGTTCTAAATAAATTAGGATGAGTACAAAAAGACATCTTTTGACAAAGATAAAACAATAGGACCCATTTTCCCCATTTTTGGAAGTATTGGTAGATAATTTGGATCCCAAAATGATTGGGATCAATTGGGAACCACTCCACATGATATTAGTACCTGCAAGACAAATAAAAATGGGTTAGGAAACTTACCTTGGCCGACCACCATGGAGAGGAGCTGCACAAGACTTGATAGGAATCAAATGTTGGGCCACCATCCCTATTTTCGCACAAAATGGTGTGCTGGTTGTCTCCACTCATTATGGGAGTTATACTCGACCAAATGAGGTGTATAAGGTGTCCTTGGATAGCCTTTGAAGTCTAGTATCGCAATTGAGTGGTCTTTGTTCGAGGAGAGAGAGCTTATCTTACCAGAATCGAGCTGAAGTGAGTGGTGGTCTGTAAACTCGAGCTGTGAGAGTGCTGAGACTGTTTGGTTGATATCTCGAGTTATACCAATCCAATTAAGGCGTGTGAGATACCCAAAGAAAGCTCTCAAGACGAGGAATCTGTGAAGGTCTGGTTTGCATCAATCGGAGTAGTGGAAGGCTTCCAAATCGTCCGAGCAAAACACAACCTCGCAGAAACTGATCTACTTTTCTAAAGTAAGTTGTTAACCCCAAAACCTTTCCTTTCATTTTCCCAAATGATATGAACGATTGGTGGAACTATTGTACACTAATACAAGTGTATGAAAGGTCCTTATAAAGTTATTTTATTGATGTAAAGGTTAGATACTAACCTAGAGCAAATCTTGGGAAACTAGGAAACGAGTTAACCGGAAAACACCCATTCTAGGGGCTGTTTTCGTATCAACGATTAAGGGTTGAACTAGCACTTTGAGGAGGCTGTTTAACACTCATATTTGAGCAAGGAATCAGTTCCAAACCCACCTTGACCAAAGCTTTGACAATTGGACCAAGAAGGGAAAGTTTAAAGCTCAATTGAGGTGAGGATTGACATCTAATTGCTTACAACTTGTAGGTTAAGCATGAGATTACCTAAATGCTTAAATCATTATTTTTCATGGATTATGATGATCATATATTGATGAAATATTGATATAGTTGCCAAAGAATGAAATTTGAAATGATTTGAGAATGTATGAATAATATGAGATTTGATGAGTATAAATGAACTATTTTTGCGAAATAGGTATTTTGCTCATGTATGAAGTATTTGGATACATAAATGAATATTTGTGTATTGAGATTGAATACTTAAGTTGCTGCTACATAATTATAATTATGTAGAGAATTACAAATAAAGAGGATAGTGGTATGATAACAATAATCTTAATAGTATTGAAATACTAGTTAGTGATTATTGGAACTTGTTGATTGAATTGATCCTAGGGATTGGATTGTATGAAAGGTACTTGAATATAGTTCAAGTGTATATAATAACTTAGTATGGAACTAAGGTTAAGTTATGGGAAGTCTTTAAGGATGACCCATGGCAGTTTAATGATATGTCAATTCTAGGCATAGGGTTGCTTGAGAATTGGACCTTAATGCATGGTGATGTAGTAGAGCCGAGCTCTAGAATGCATGTAAGGTGTAGACTTGTAGTCTACGTATTGTATAGCTAGAGCCGAGCTCTAGGGCTTGCGTGGTGATGTAATAGAGTCGAGCTCTAGAACGCAAGGTAAGGAATTGACCCGAGTGACATGAATTGTATGGTGATGTAGTAGAGCCGAGCTCTAGAATACAATGTCATGTGTTAGGGTTGGACTCTATTGAGTATCGTGGTTTGTAGCCACGGGAAATGGGAATGGTGATTTCTAAATGAACATGGGCCCACGGGCCGACTACTTGACTTTTACCTAAAGTAAGTATATTTTCAAATGGGTAACTTAGGGTTACAATCATAATATACTATCACCCTATTTGAGGGTCTTGTGCTTGAAATACTTGTTGTATATCTATTAGATGCCTGCCACACCAGTACTTTATAGTCGTATAGAGTACTGACCCCTTCGGGGGCGTCCCACCACCATTTCAGGTTGAGGCTAGAGCTTGCTTCCTGTGCTCGTTGCCCGAGTGATTTCCCCGGAGAGAAGACTTGGTTCGTGCTTCCTCCATTCAGTTTTAGAACATTAATAAACATGCTCATGGATATTTTACTTTAGAGCCTGCGTGCTCATGTTCGCCCTGTGTGGCCCTTTGTCTTAAACAATGTTTTCCGCTACGTATTGAATTACTTATTATGTATGTTTATGGATGACTTTTGTGTGAATGATATTCATGACGCCTTGTATAATATGAATGTGTTGGACTGCGGTTGACTATTCGTATTGTACGGCGGGTTGTTGACGTGTCCGGGGAGGTCCGGGGCGTGACAATTAAGTTGGTATCAGAGCCTTAGTCCATAAACTTCATAATGAAGTCTCAAAATTCTCTTTTTGAAAAGATTTTGAAAACCATGAGCATAGAAGTTTTGTACTTGGAGTGCTTTTGGTACTTGGGTCGCAAGGTCTCTAATTGTTAAGATGGTACCCTTAGCAATTGGTATGGCGGTGACTCGAGCCAAAATGTGTCTTAAGTACCTATCCGTCAATTGACATTTGATACGAGTCTAACGACTCTTTCCAAATTTCTTTCAGAAATGGACCGTGGTGGCAGGATTACTAGGAGGAACCCGACGGGCCGTGTACCAGTGGAGACTGGACAGGGCAGTCGAAGGACCTCTAGGGCATCTAGAGGAGCTGGCCGTGGAGGCCGATCACAGACCGTGAGTGACGGTCATGTTGACACAGAAAGTGAGACCTACTGGTCCTATGAGGACTCGACTTACCAACCGGAGACAGAGCCGGTTGAGACCCCTTATGAAGGGGATGATGACGATGTAAGTGATGAGGAGGGAAATGGCTCCTTAGCACGGATCGAAGCACTACTCCAACAATACCACCGGGAGCGTGAAGAGAGGAGGCAACGCCGAAGACGCCGAGTGGGGCAACCTTCGGGCATGGCTTCAAGAGGAGGGAGTCATGGTGCATCTAGAGTCCATGTGGAACCACATGGAGGCCAAAGTGATGGAGGTCCAACCATAAGGATCTCCAAATTTATCAAAGAAGCAAGAGATTTGGGGTGCAAACCCTTTGATGGAGCAGGGGACATTTCAGTCGCAGCACAATGGATCAAGAGGCTAAATGAAGCAGCCCTTGACATGCAAATCGCGCCGAATCTCAAACTGAGAATTGCGGTAAGATTGCTCGAGGGGATGGCATCCAAGTGGTGGGATGGAACCAAGAGCAAGTACGGTGAGACCGTCGTTTGGGAGGACTTCCAACGGGAGTTCTTTGCCCAATATTATTCTGATTTTGAAGTGAACAAGAAGGTGAGGGAATACACCCTCCTAACCCAAGGGGGTAACATGACAGTGAAGGAACTTGAGTACAAGTTCCGGGATCTCGCCGACTACATACCGGAGTATGCTTGTGACGAGAACCGAATGGTAAACCACTTTTGGGATGCTCTTGACTTGGAGATACGTGATAGGGCAACACAATTGCCTAATATGACCTTCGCCCAAGTGGTTGACCAAGCGTTGAAGGGGGAGAAACAGTGGGAGGAGAGGAAGAAGAGAGACGCCGAGGAGGCGAAAAAGAGAAAATGGGAGAGTCATGGCTCCCAAGGTTCCAACAAAAAGGGGAACCATGGAGGAGGATCTTTCCGGGCACCGCCGCCACCGTCTAGGGGGAACCAAGGCCCGAGTGGGCAAGGCTCGAGGTCACAAACCTCGGTGGTAACTCGTTGCAACAATTGCAAGAGGAACCACTCCGGTAAATGTCGCGACCCCCCTAGATGTTTTCAATGTGGGGATGCCGGGCATTTGAAGGCGCATTGCCCACAATTGGGTGGGGCAAGGACATCGGGACCGAGCAGTGGCCCGACGGGTACACGGAATCAAACCGGAGCTTCTCAAGCGAGCCGGGGACATGGGGGAGCGAGTACGAGCAACGCGCCATCTGTGAATCAAGGAAGAACTCAAGCTAGAGTTTATGCGATGACGGAGGCAGATGCTCGAGCTAACCCGGACTCGGTTGCAGGTATTGCCTCTTGCACAATTGTATTTTGTCCATATTTAACCCATAAATTGATGACATAAGTCATAGGGATTGAGTGCGAGTCATTACGGGGTCAAACGGCAAAATTCGGGCCAAAACTGACCAAAAACAGGGACGCACGATCGTGCGTCCAACCCCACGCACGATCGTGCGTAGGGGGCAGTGGTTCCGGGTGAATTTCGCGCAGGACGCACGACCGTGCGTGCCGGTACGCACGCCGTGCGTGGACGCACGATCGTGCGTGGCCGGGTACGCACGATCGTGCGTAACCGGCAGTGGTCGGGTTCGATGTTTCTTCACGCACGCATGACCGTGCGTGTCCCACGCACGACCGTGCGTGGACCCCAGCCGCCCGAAACACGAGTTTTTCATCCCGTTCTTCTACGATTGAACCCCCGTTTGATTCCGAACATTTGTATGAACCTATTAACCTCCTAAAAGGTGTCCTAAACCATTAGAAAAGGTATCTTACATGGTGTATAAATGTAGGAACATTAAAGATTAATGGGAAGGATGCACGAATCCTTATCGATACCGGAGCGCAACGTTCGTTCGTGAGTGAGGCGTTCGCCGAGGACTTAGGGGTACAATCAACACCAATGACGCACACATTAGTGGTATCAACACCACTAGGGGATGACGTTGAAAGAACTAGTTATTATCCATCTTGTGAGGTGGAAATTGATGGCCAAACCTTGACGTGTGATTTCGTACCGCTGAGTATGATGGAGTTCGATGCAATCCTAGGGATGGATTGGCTAGAAAAGCATCATGCTAGGGTAGATTGCTACACAAAGGTTTTGGAACTCGAAGGCAATAATGGGGACACCCTACGCTTCGAGGGGGATCGAGGCAAATCAAACAGTTGTATTATTTCCGCCGTGAGAGCGAGAAGTATGATGAGAAAGGGATGTCACGCATATCTAGCATACGTGATTGACAAAACCAAGGAGGAAACGAACATTGACGACGTGAGGGTGGTTTGTAAGTACCCGGATGTCTTCCCTAAAGACCTACCGGGGCTTCCACCTGATAGGGAGATTGAATTTGTGATCGAGGTCGAGCCCGGCACCAAACCAATCTCCATACCGCCATACCGTATGGCACCCGCTGAACTTAACGAGTTGAAAACCCAATTGCAAGAGCTTTTGGATAATGGTTTCATTAGACCAAGCCACTCCCCGTGGGGAGCACCAGTTCTTTTTGTGAAGAAGAAAGATGGGACACTTCGAATGTGTATTGACTATCGTCAACTGAACAAGGTCACAATCAAGAATAGGTATCCTTTGCCTAGAATTGATGACTTGTTTGATCAATTACGAGGGGCAACCGTGTTTTCAAAGATTGATTTGAGGTCGGGTTACCATCAATTGAAGATTAAGGAAGACGACATACCAAAAAGTGCTTTCCGCACAAGGTATGGGCATTTTGAGTTCCTTGTTATGTCGTTTGGGTTAACAAACGCCCCAACGGCATTCATGGACTTGATGAACCGAGTATTCCATAAATACTTGGATCGATTCGTGATTGTGTTCATAGATGACATTTTGATTTACTCAAAGAGTGAGGAAGAGCATGAAGAACACTTGATACTCGTTCTTGAGACACTACGGGAGAAGCAACTTTATGCCAAATTTTCTAAATGTGAATTTTGGCTAAAGGAGATTGGCTTCCTCGGGCACGTGGTTTCTGGATCGGGAATTGCTGTTGATAACAAGAAGATAGAAGCCATTACCGAATGGGAGAGGCCAAAGAACGTCAAGGAAATTCGTAGTTTCCTTGGATTGGCAGGCTACTACAGGAAGTTCGTGGAGAAGTTCTCTGTTTTGGCATCACCATTGACGAAGCTCACTCGTAAAGGAGCTAAGTTTGTATGGGACGACAAATGTGAGAAGGGGTTCATGGAACTAAAGAAACGATTGACCGAGGCACCGGTACTTGCATTACCCAAACAGGGTGTGGGGTACGATGTCTATAGCGATGCGAGCATCCAAGGGCTTGGGTGTGTACTGATGCAGAATGGGAGGGTAATCGCCTATGCTTCACGACAGTTGAAGAAGCATGAGGTGAATTATCCTACTCATGATTTGGAGCTGGGGGCAGTTGTTGGAAATATGCCCTAGGACAATCATAGTTTATGATTTATCAATAAATATTTAATGCTCATTAATTAATAAAGTTGCAAACTCATTTTATGTTAATTATTATTGTGAGTTTTCTTTATTAATATTTAGTCCCTGAATATTCTGTTTAGTAGCTAATTAAGTATGTGACTTAATTGTGGAATGCTACACTTTAAAATAAACATAATATTCTAATTGTCCCTGGTCTAATATTATTAATTTGGGACATTAATAATTAATAGACCAGTATGTGGATTAACTGATGGCTATATTCCACTAGTCATGGGTATAGAGATATCAAGTTAATAACATAGATGCTTGTTAGGGAACAAGTTCATTGGACAGACCCAACTTGGGGACACTGCTAGGTTATATGTCATCAGTGTTGTCCTCAATAATGATGAGGTGCTATATTCTTATACTTGAGATAATCATGGTTACTAGCATGAGAATTAATATGTATTAACACCATTAAATGTTATCTTTAACTGGATAATTATAAAGGTGGTGATTGTACATATTATGAACCATGTAGTAGTATGTGAATTATCAAGATAGTTTTTGTCACTCTTGTACATCGAGAGAAAGATATCTATTGGGCCCCTTGACAAGTAAGATTAATTAGCATGGCCATGCTCAAATGAGGTGTCATTTGATCAAGATTAATCTTACTTGGTAATCAAGAAATACTAATTGAGAATAACAAGGATGACACGACCTAACCTTGTCTCAATTAAGATATCGTTTGACAAAAGAGAATTATTAGCACAAATTAATCATTAAAAGGTTATGTCAGATTTAATTGACATTTATATATTTTGGATAGTCATAATGCCTTGCTAGAGACCGCTTATGATTTGTGAGGCTCGAATTAATTTCTAGCCCACTGCCAATAATATATAAACCTACAGGGTCACACACCTAAGTGATTTGGATCATTAATGTTTGTTAATAACATTAAAATAGCTTGATTAGCCCAATTCGAAAGAGGGTTTCGAATGGTATTGGGCTAGGGCCTCTTTAAGGGTTTTATTAGCCATAAAACTCCTTCTTTCCACCTCTTATAAATAGGGCTAAGGAGACCCACGAATTTTAAGAGTTAAAATTCACTTCTCAAACCTAGAGTAGAGAGGAAGAAAGAAGAGAACGCTAGCACGTTCCCTGCGGCCGATCCAGTCACGTGCGTGTGGATACCGGTAGAGCTCGGGATCGTTTTCTCGGACTGTCTGACATCCTTGATTAAGATTACTATGTAAGTCCCTCTTATGTCTTGTAATTTCGTTTATAATATGAACCTCAGATCCGATTGTTTACTTTTGGGTAGTAAATTTTTCGTTTATTCTGCTGCGTTTTTCTGCCCGAAACCCAACAGTGGTACCAGAGCCTACGGTTCTTTATTATACGCGGGTTACACGATTTGATGTATAATCTATAATTTGATTATTTTGGGATTTATTTTCGGAATTAATTTTTTTATTAATTTCGAAATTATTGATATATTAATTTCGTATATTAATTAATTATGTGATTCCGATATTACTGTTAATACGTATGATATACGTATATTGGCATCCTGTGATATACGTATGTATATTAACATACGTATGTTAATACGTATGAATTATATACGTATGTGATATACGTATTTGATACGTATGAATTATATACGTATGTGATATACGTATGTGATATACGTATTTGATACGTATGATATATTAATTTCGAATATAACTAGTATTGCTTCGTATCAATTTATTGCTTTATATATGATTGCAAAATTCGGATTTTGATTCAACTTCTAATTCAATATTTATTGCTTCGTATCACATTGGGATTGTGGTATATTTAGATTTCCAAATTTTGAAATCAATAAAAAGATTGAATTAGATCTAGTTTATATTTAGACCTAATCATGGAAGTTTTAGCTTCTTGTTTTTCGGATGAGATCCGAATTGATTTTACATATTCATTCAATTTTACAAATTTAGCGTTCTGCCAAATTAGTTGAGATCCGAGAATACAAAATTAGTTGGGATGAGATCCACATTATAACATATTCGAATTGATCTATATTACGGATATGTTATTTGGGAACTTCGAATTTAATCACGGATTAATCTATAGGCTATCATTCAGAATCTGTGTTATTTCAAAAGAGATTGGAATTTAATCACGGATTAGAAAACTAATAATTCGAAGTTTGGTTCATTATATTTTTCTTTTTATTCGTAGTTATATATGTGTATTAATCTATGTTACGGATATGATCTGTATATTTGCATATATATTACGAATTATTTTAGAATTCATTAATATGTATTTTATTTTTCGGATGAGATCCGAATTAATTACATATTACTTGCGGATTTTTAAAATTTAATTTTCAATCCGTGCATGCGCAATTATTTTGCTCCGTCACAGGGACAGTTTGAAGTGGTGGTATAGCATGATCTGAATGTATGTTTTATATTATGTTGTTTTACGGCCTGCGTGCCGTTTCCCACCATCCCCTGTAATGTTTTTCAACCCCGTAGATTTTTAGTAGTACACTACACAGGTTGAAGATGTCAAGGAGATATGAAGATTTTGGGATCATGCTATATCACTACACTAGTTTTAAATTATTATTTAAATATTTGATTGTTGCATGTGTGTAATTATTAGTCCCGACTAATTATAAGTCTAAATTGCTTTCCCAATATGACCACCATTTAAACTATGATAGTCGTGATATGTGTCTGCCAAAGCAGAGCATTTCACACTATCTTAGGAAGATGTTTTGAATGATCGTCATTCTCGGGTCTTAATATTGGTTTGGACTTACAAGGCCATCAAAATGGTTTTGGGCCTTGAAGCAAAGAGTGTTTGGATAATCATATGATGTTGACCAAACAAACCAAGAGTCATATAGGATATGATTAACAAGAGTTGTTTACCTAAATAACTAATTTTTAAGTGATAAGCCAAAGCTTACTTAAATTTTAGTGAAATATGGATCTTGGACCACTATATTTGGGACTTT